TTTATTTATTTATTGGAAAGTCAGATATACAGAGAGGAGGAGAGACAGAGAGGAAGATCTTCTGTCTGATGATTCACTCCCCAAGTGAGCACAACGGCCGATCCTATGCTGATCTGAAGCCAGGATCCAGGAACCTCTTCCGGGTCTCCCACGTGGGTGCAGGGTCCCAAAGCTTTGGGCCGTCCTCGACTGCTTTCCTAGGCCACAAGCAGGGAGCTGGATGGGAAGTGGAGCTGCCGGGATTAGAACCGGTGCCCATATGGGATCCTGGGGTGCGTTCAAGGTGAGGACTTTAGCCACTAGACCATGCTGCCGAGCCCTGCAAATATACTTTAAACAACACATATAAATAAATAGTTGTTATGGGGTGCAGCCAGTGATAGCCAGCACCCATTGACAGCAGGCAAATGAAATTTGGCTGTGTCCCCTATCCTCTGCCCTGAAGGTGGGTCCTAACAGCAATGGAATGATAATTCCATCCTGAACCACTTCCCCCACATCCTAATTTAGCCAGGATGTTTGATGTAGACAAGTTTAATTAGTCTAGGCATTTTTAGCCTCAAGCCCAGTTTCTGTTCCTGCCCATCCCAATGAGCACTAATCAACTCCTTAGCCCACAACACTTAGGTATTTGTTCCTGCCCATCTGTGACTCACCTATCAACTGAGAGGGGACGATATTGCATAGTTGTGTAACTACTCCCTTCACAAGCCCCTTTAAAAGGCCCATGAAGCAGGGACTCTCACTCTTTCTGGCCAGGTGCTTCCATTATTCTGGCACCTCGACTCATGGCTGACCCAGGACAGGTAATCCCCTGAGCATGGTCCCTGTGTACTGCTTATATGGGGCAATGGTTATAATAATGTTGTTTCTGGTTTGTGTGCTGTCAGTAGTTCCAGGAGGGGTGAGGCCTAGCAGTAGCGGAATGTGGGCAGAGAAGCTAGGGAAAGGTGAATGTCTGCAGCTTTGTGAGTGTGACCAGGTTATTTGTTGCATGTCTCTTAGGATGACTTATATTGTTGGAAAAGCTGGGACATAGGTCTTCAGCTTAATGGATAGATTTAAGGATAATGACTATTTGTTCCTCTTGGGATTATGATTGGTTGGATTATGATTGGTTGGATTGTCATATGGACTTGTGATTTGCTATTGTGCTCTATTATCACCAAGCCTTGTTAATAAAGACTACTCAATAAGCCTTAGACATGTCTGGTGTAATCTCGCTCGCACCATGCAACAGTTCATTATACTGTAGAGTTTTAAGTGAGACTTGAAACAATGATAGTGGCATCAAAGTGTAGAATCAGAGGTGTCCTTGATAATGTGAACCACTGAGTGAGTGGACAAGCCTCTCATACACTACCAGGTTGCCCTTCCATGTTGAGTCTTCCCTGGATGCTGAGAGCTCAATTCCCATTGCAATGGTATTAAGAAGTGGAGTCTTTGAGAGGCAATTAGGTTATAAAGGTGGGAACCTCATGAATAAAGTTAGTGCCCTTATCAAAAGAGATAAGAGAGCGTTCCCTTTCCTCCCTCTCTCATTCCCACTCATCCAACCAGGCCACATGAGGACAAGAGAAAAGAGCCACCTGCAAACCCAGAAGCAGGTGGCTCACCAGACACAGACATGACCTCTGCTGCCCCCTTGATCTCAGACTTCCAGGCCTCCAGACCATGACTTAGTCCACAGTGATTTGACACAGTTGTCCAACCTCTGGTTATAAGACAACCTCTGTTCTACATCCAGAGCTTATGTGCAGAAAAAAAAAAAAACAAACTGTGCAAGGCAATATATAAAATGTTGGTTAACTGTGCTGTTTCTGGTAGCAATTTTTTGTGACATATGGACACCTACAGGCTAACTGCAAGCATTTAAATACCTATCCCTGCACTTTTGTTTTAGTTGATCAAAGAACATAATAATGGCTACAAAAGGCAACATAATCCTGAAATGCTCAATTCAATCAACACTTGATTTTTAAAGTTCCAAAGCATTTCCCTTCCTAAGGCTTACCCAGTCAGCTCTTTTGTCCACAGTGGCCAGTGCCTCCACCCTCCACCTGAGGATCCAGCTCCAACACACACCCAGGGGGAACTTCCTGACCCAGGGGAAGGACCTCAACTACACCAAGCACCTCTATGCCTGCGAGAAAAGCTCCCATTCCCTAGAGAGGGACATAGTGGCATTCAGTGCATTTGAATTGTTTTTTGGTTAAGAAAGGATGAGTTGTTTTCGCAGAGTATGCTGCAGCACGACATGGTACTCGTTCTTAGCAGGAACTTGACTGTTCCAATCACACATTTTGCTGTTGAGTTCAACATGGAGGTCCAGGAGTGGGCGTTTTCTGGAGGTAAGAAGTGAAATGTTAATGCCACGATAATATCAATGAGAAGACAGAATGTCATGATGGTAAAAAAAAAATGTAAGTGCTTTGGAACTGTTCCTTTTTAAACATTCTATAAGCTACTTTGTGAATGATTTAAACAGGCTGACATAGCTTTGGCTCAAGAGACGCAGTCCCTTTGCACAAAGGGCAGCTAAGTTTTACTCTGGGAATACACCATTCACATGACACCCCACCTGGATCATTATGGATATAAAAGGCCAATCTTGAAGGATCAGGTTGCTCCTCCTACAGCAACATCATTATTAGGCAGAATGAGGAGAAAAGACTATGAGACCCATTCATGGGGTTGTCACAACCACACCCAGAATGCATTTGATAAGTAGCTTGGAAACAACCAAATTATAATTAGGAGTCAATGGAAAAAAGCCAGTTAATCTTATAGTTGAGGTACACTGTGGCTTCCATTAGCTTAAATAAAAAACAGATCGCTGATGTTTCCCTTAGACAAGTATTCTTTAAGTTATATTAAAAATAGTTACAATGCAGACTCTTTTCATCCACTGGAAAATATAACTCAACAACCCCAGTGGTTGCTGAAACTACAGATGATGTCAAACCCTATATTGTGTGTATGTTTTTTCCTATACACTCATCTACCTCTATGACAAAGTTTAACTTACAAATTCGGCAGTATAAGAGATTAGCAACACAATTAACAATAGACTAGCAATAACAATATACTATGATCAGCTTCATTTGAAATGTATAATTACTTATTTCTGGAATGTTTTCATTCCATATTCTCAAACTGAGGTTGACATTAGGTAAGTGAGACCTCACAGGAGGGACTACTGCAGAAACTCTCAGGCCTGAACAGTCAGATACCATTGTCAGGACTTGGGAAACAGAAGAGCTCAGAGTGTTGGTGAGAATCCAGGGACACAGCCACACTCACACAAAGCTGACCCTGGAGGACAGCTGGTGAGATGTATTAAAGACATGTAAAACCTGTGTCCTTTGACATTTCTAGGTATTCCTCTCAAGGAAACTATTACAAATAAACACAAGTACTGAGTTGCAAAGATATTTAACATGTTGTTTGCATGAAAGAAAAACTATCCAACAAGTGAAGAATGCTGGAGCAAATTAAACTATAGTCATATCATGGGTTGCCCTGAAAATATTAAAATGTTGTTGTTAAAATGTGACCAGTAACATGCACAGTGTGTGATCTACCATTAAACACATTCAAATTACCACATGAAGTGATATTATATAATTTCATTTGGGTTGAAAGTACTTATATCTGACTGTGTAGGTATCCAAAACAATATCTAGAGAGCAAAACGTCAAGACTTAGTTAGCAGAGGTTGGCTCCAGTAACTAGGATTACAACTGTTTGTTACATCCTGCTTTCAGTATCTAGTTTTCATGGATTTTTAAAATGAATACAAATTGTTTTATAATAATTAAAGAGCAATTAGAAATCTCTCAACCTGGGGAAAGCATGCATCCCATCTGTTAAGACACTCATCGAGGCACCCATCGTCCATAGCGGACTAGCTTAGTTCAAGTCCCGACTCCTCCTGATTCTAGCTTTCTGCTCATGCACATTCTTGGAGGCAGCCCTGTTGACTCAAGGAACTCTGCCTCCCACATGGGAGACCTGGGTTGAGTCTCCAGCTCTCAGCTTCAGCCCAGTGCCATACAAGCTGTCACAGATACTTGGTGAGTGATTCTGCAGTATTCTCTCTCTCTTTCTGATTCTCTACCTCTCATATAATTTTTTAAAGTTTTTCATTTTGAAGAAAAATACTTAACTGATGAGCTACCACAAAATACTCATAGTTACACTGGCTCTGTATCCTATTCTTTAGGCAACTCCAATGCGGAAGAAAAATAAATCTCCTTTCCTCATTGAAGAAAAGAACATCCAACCCAGCATGGCGGGGTAAATGGTTCAAGCAGGGCAAAGATCAGGCAAAGCCCAGCCACCTCCACTGGGCTCACCTTTCTTGTTCCAACTTCTGGGAGAGGACCTGCAAGTATAGGGAAGGTGAGCTGGGGACCTGCTCCAGCAGGGACACATCCGCCGTGCACAGGCTCCAGAAGAAGTCGGCTTCACGGTGAATGGTGGAGGGTCCCAGGTGTGGCATCTTGGGTTCGGAAGTTTTCACAGCCGGTCCATCCACCTCCAGCAGGCTCTCTGACACCACATAGTTCTGGAGGAAGAAAAGCTTAGGCTTCCCTACGAGATAAGGGCACGAGTCCCCCATGAACATCTTCCGGATGTTGTGCAAGGGAAAGCCCGATTCAAACTTGTCCACACCGAATACACTCTGGGTACTTCCTCGGCTCACTAGGATACACACAAAGCTGTCATAGTCTTGATGCTTGGGTTCCCTGGCAGCTTTGTCAAGTTCTCTGATGATGTCACACATACGGAGACACTTGAAGGGCTGCACTTTAAAGCCCAGAGAGGTGAAAGTTTTTTGAAGACCCTCTGGAGGAAACAAACAGGGAGAACAATGCTGGAGTGAGCAAAGCATGAAGGGAAGTGTATCACATCTATGTGACGTTAACACTGCTCTCCCCAGTTTTAGGCAGCAGTGGTAACAGCCACCTCACAAGACATTATAAGGAGTGGGCAGCACAAATAAAGCCATACTTTGGAGTGTTACGCACACATCATTGGAACAACAATCCGCCAAGTAGGATTTCAGACCTCTCCTGGCAATGAAGACAATGACAATCACTGTAATCTAAGTCCATAGTTACACGATGTCCTTTTCCCCTTTGCCTGGCCCAAAGTGGATAGTTTAACAATGGAATTATTGACCATCTAATATTGAAGAGGAACAAAGAAGAAGCTAGCATCCTTACACCTGTTTTCAGTCATCATTATCAAGGCATTGGGAGACTTGATTGACAGGCTGCAATAACCTATTCAATGACATTCTTTCCCTCAAAAAATATCCACGGGACAGAAAAGGCCTGGCTGTGTTATCTCCCAGCCACCGCCTCTGATGGCTCAGGTGGTTACAGGTCAGAACAAGGAGAGAATCTCTGCCAGTCCCATCAATACTTCCTTGCAGACTCACACACCTCAGAGCATACAAATCCTCTCCTCTAGGGGGCGGAAGCAAACAGGGAAACATCGCACTCTACTTGGTCTCCACTGGTTCACTTCTCCAAGCTCTCCCTTTGCTGATCTTTCCTCCCTGACCAAAGTCCTTGAAGCAAAGCATCACCAGGGTCTCTCTCCATTTCTGTGACCATGTATAGAGATGGACAAAACAAGCGTGTTCCAGGCCTCTGCCTCTTTGCTTTATCTGGGCTCCTTGGGGCCCTGGCTAGACACAGTGAGTAGAGGGCCAAAGGAACCAATCTGAGATCAACTCCATCTGAGTTTAAATCTTGCCTGCTCCCTTCTCTGAGGGCTGAACTTGCCTTTGAAGGTTGACCTCCACAACCAGACAGACTAAACTGGGGACAGGATTCCCAGGTGCCAGGAGGAAAATCTTTACCTAACAGAACAGGAGTGGGGGAGAAAGAAGACTAAAACTAGAAGCAGGGCCCGGCAGCGTGGCCTCGCCTTGAACACCCCAGGATCCCATATGGGCGCCGGTTCTAATCCCGGCAGCTCCACTTCCCATTCAGCTCCCTGCTTGTAGCCTGGGAAAGCAGTCGAGGATGGCCCAAAGCTTTGGGACCCTGCGCCTGTGTGGGAATGCCCGGAAGAAGTTCCTGGATCCTGGCTTCGGATCAGCATAGGATCGGCTGTTGCACTCACTTGGGGAGTGAATCATCGGACGGAAGATCTTCCTCTCTGTCTCTTCTCCTCTTTTCTGTATATCTGGCTTTCCAATAAATAAATCTTAAAAAAAAAAAAAACTGGAAGCAAAACCAAAAACCATGAATGACAATGGCTGTGACCCAAATAAGGGAAGAAAAACCTGGGTGCTGAGTAGGGAAAGTAAAACTTGACACTGCAGAAATCCCACTTCTCCTTCTACCCACCCTGGAAATCCCTTTCTTAATTCATCCTCATTTCTGTGAGTTTCAACTGCCCTTGAGAAAATAATTTTGTGATGTAGTGAGGGAGAGGGACCATCAGGTCTAGTGGCCAGTACAGGGCTGTGACAGAGAGGTCAGGGCCAGCACTACTCAAAGGTTTGGGGACTTTGGAGGTCAAACCTCAAAGCAAAGTACAGTCAGGGACTGCAGTGGGCTCATGTATCTTGGTCTAAATGAGGGCACATTATCTTGACACTTTCTATTAAAGTCAGAGTGTGGGATAAATGAGAAACGGAGAATGCTACTCTGCTTTACTTATGAGTATCCTCAGTGAGCCCAGGTAGAATCACCACCAAGCACATAAGCAGAACACAAGAAGGGCATGGTGGTTTCCATGGTTACAGGGACAGGAATGAATGGGAAATGTCAGGCTGACAGGCCGAAATGGATTTCTTCACAGGAAAATGACTCAATAAACACTGCAATCTCCAAGAGAGGAACAAGTCACGCAGCCTTGGTCAAGTTTACTTGGCTTCAAAACTCATGTTAGGCTCACAATTATAAGCTACTTTATATATGTCTTTAAAAAAAGTGATTGACTGATTGATTGATTTTACTGGAAAGACAGATTTACAGAGAGAAGGAGAGAAAGAAAAATCTTCCATCCTCTGGTTCACTCCCCAAGTGGCTGCAATGGCCGGAACTGAAGCAATCCAAACTCAGAAACTGGAAACTTCCTCCATGTCTCCCACGTGCGCGCAGGGTCCCAAGACCTTGCGCCATTCTCTACTGCTTTCCCAGGCCACGAGCAGGGAGCTGAATGGGAAGTGGAACAGCTGCAACACAATAAGCACCCATATGGGATTTTAGTCAGTAGGCTATCACACCAGGCCCTCTATGTCTTATTTTTTAAAATATTTATTTATTTGGAAAGCAGAATAACACAAAAATTGAAGGAGAGAGACAGAGAGAGAAATAGCTCCTATTCACAGGTTCATTCCCCAGATGGCCATGATGACCAGGGCTGACTCCAACCAAAATCAAGAGCCTAGAACCCTATGCAGGTCTCCCACGTGGAGGGCAGGGCATTGAGCACTTGGGCCATCCACTGCTGCCCTCCCACGTGTACCAGCAGGGAGACAGAAAGGAAGCAGACCAGGTAGGAGCTGACATCACAATGCCAGCCCCTACATAACTTCTTTGTAAAACACAAATCACTACTAGTAGTTTCTTTTGTATGAACCTTTTTTTTTTAAAAAAAAATCTGTTTTATTTTTATTGGAAAGCCAGATATACAGAAAAGAGGAGAAGAGACAGAGAGGAAGATCTTCCATCCATTAACTCAATCCCCAAGCAACTGAAACAGCCAGAGCTGCGCCGATCCAAAGCCAGGACCCCGACTCTCTTCCGGGTCTCCCTCATGGGTGCAGGGTACCAAGGCTTTAGGTTGTCCTTAACTGTTTTCCCAGGCCACAGGCAGGGAGCTGGATGGGAAGCAGGGCTGCTGGAATTAGAACCAGCAGCCATATGAGATCCCGGCACTTGCAAGGCGAGGACTTTAGCCACTATTATTATCATTAATAAACATGTCAATTGCATGTCAAGAGAAGTTTCTGGGGGAGGGTGCTGTGGTATAGTAGGTTATCCAATGTCTGCAATGCCAGTATCCTACAGGAGTGCTGGTCTGAGTCCCAGCTGCTCCATTTTCAATCCAGCTACCTACTAAGGGACCTGGGAAGGCCACAGAAGATGATCTTGGACCCTTGGGAAATCTGTGTGAAGTCCCTGGCTCCTGGCTTCCCATGGCTGTTGCAGCCATTTGAGGAGTGAATCAGGGCCCGGTGGCGTCGTAGCCTAGTGGCTTAAGTCCTCGCCTTATGGCGCCGGTTCTAATCCCAGCAGCTCCACTTCCCATCCAGCTCCCTGCTTGTAGCCTGGGAAAGCAGTCGAGGACGGCCCAAAGCCTTGGGACCCTGCACCCACGTGTGAGACCCAGAAGAAGTTCCTGGATCCTGGCTTCGGATTGGCATAGGATCGGCCATTGTGCTCATTTGGGGAGTGAATCATTGGATGGAAGATCTTCCTCTCTGTCTCTCCTCTCTGTATATCCGCCTTTCCAATAAAAATAAAAATAAATCTTAAAAAAAAATAAATAATGGGTTTATAAAA